CGATGGAACTCAATCGAATTGACACGAAGGCAAGACCAAAGAATGACAAATCTATGTGTTCTTTCTACAGCAAGCAGGGACATCGACTCATCGATTGTAACAAAATGAAAACCGCGCGTGCAGCGCTTCGGGACCGCAGCACTGGAGCAGATTCAATGCGAAAATTGGAAGATCGTGGAGTGAATTGTTCAACCCACGAACGGACTCTACCAGGGAACATTGCCGAGGAAAATAAAATATCCGCGAAACAAGACCCTGCTGGACCCGGACAACTCCAAAAAGGCCCTGTAAAAGGTAAACACTCCTTAAAAAACCCCCCTGGGTCTACGGCCTTGGTGAAATCACGGAGAGGCTCCAGAAGAAAAATAATGTACCGGCACGACAACTACTGCAGCTGCGCATGGGGAACCAACAACGGAGAGTGGAAGATTGACCTTCCAACGACGACATCGTCCTCTCTCAGAATAACTAGCCCACGTCGACCAACCGGTCCCCAAGGAAGAAGTCGGTGGCACTGAAGCAGCTCAAGAGGGAGCTGGAGGTCAACATGAAGCTGCGACGACCTCAAACCTCCTCTACAGATGCATCTGCAACATCTGCAAAATGTGCAACATCTACTCTACGAGGGAATTTTACAACGAGCTCGAGAACCACGTCGTCGACGACAAAAAAAAAATCATGGCAATAGGGAACGGTAGGACCAGCCATCTGCCACCCCAAAAGATAACACGGAGATATGGGATATGCCTTACGATCCAATCAATGAGACGATCAATGGGTACAACGAGCAACGCCAACCACATCTGCTCGAGGTAATCTGCAATGGACGACACCTCCAAGCATTCGTGGACAGTGAAGCATCCCATTCAGTATGCGACAAAGCAACCCTTGAACGCATCAATGAGGAGTGCACGCCTTCAAGCTTCATAGCTACGATGGTTGACGGAAGCAAGTTACAAGTCTACGGCGAAGCAGCGTCAAACCTGCAGATGGGTCCTCTTCGCTGAAAACCGATCCTACCCGTCACCAACATCAAAGGGCTAGACTTGATCCTTAGGAGAGACTTTCAGAAGAAGTTCAACCCTAAGATCAATTGGGTCATCCGCACGGCGAGAAACTACAATCGAGATAGAATGGTTCCACTTCCGAATTGGAGCAACACGGGAGATATTCCAAAAGAGACTCTCGCACGCTTCGAGAAGGACGTAAAACGAACCATGGAGGGTTTCGTCGCACTGGTTACTAACGAGGACGAAGGAGCGAAGAAAACGCTCAAGCTTCGACTAGCAATCTAGAAACTTCTAGAGGAGTTTGAATCGTTCTCCCTGACGACCTTCCAGACCAGTTGCCACCATATCGAACCCACCAGCACGAGATCGTCGAATAACCTGGTTCAAAACCAACCTTCAAACCACCATACCAACTCAGCCCTACCGAGTTGGCTGACATGAAGAAACAGATCGAGTACCTCCTGGACAAGGGACTCATTCGACCCTCGACATCACCAGCCAGTGCTTTTCATGCCAAAACCTAACAAAAGCTTACGCATGTGCATCGACTACTGCGCCCTCAACAAGCAGACGATCAAGAGCTTGTATCCAATTCCACGGATCAACGATCTACTTGACCAGCTTTGGGGAGCTACGGTACTCTCAAAACTCGATTTGAGGTCGGGATATTGGCAGATTGAAGTACCTAAAGACGCAGCCGACCCTCTCCAGGCGACAAGTCAGGTGGATCGACTTCCTCGAGACGCACTTCGACTACGACATCGTGTACAAGCCGGGACACAATAATAAGGCAGACACACTGATTCGACCTAGACACGTTGCCGCCATAGAGATTGAGGGGATGAATCCGCTATTCAAGGGATACCATCGACCCCGAGATTCCCTTGGCAAAGAAGAAGAAACTGTTGCAGTGGGACCACGACATCGCACTATGCAAAGGAACAACAAAGATATGGGTACCCAACTACCCACCTCTTCGGCAGTTGCTTCTCGAAGAATTCCATGACGTGCTCTACGCTGGACACTTCGAGAGTAACACGACTCTTGTCGGGATTGCGAAAGTCTACTACTGGCCTCACATGGCAGACGACGTGCAGAAGTTCGTCACTTCGTGCGACACATGCCAACGGATGAAGAGCAGTAAGCAGAAGAAATCAGGACTTCTTCAGCCTTAGTCCGTCCCGAAACAACCTTGGCAAGTGGTCAGCTTGGACTTCATCACTGGGTTACCACCTACCATAGCGGGGCATGACGCCATCTTGGTCGTCATCGACAAATTCTCAAAGATGGGACACTTCATTCCGACGCATACAACCGCACACACGGAGGAAATGGCACAACTATTCGTCGAACGTATCATCTCACAGCAGCTCCAATAGCTCCAGCAACTCCACCTTCAGCACCTCCAGCTTTAGCACCTCCAGTACCATCAGCTCCAGTAACTCCAGCACCTCCAGCTCCAGCTCCTCGAGTACCTCCAGCTCCTGCACCTCCAGCACTAGCAGATCCAGTACCTCCAGTACCTCCAGCTCCAACAACTCCAGTACCAACAGCTCGAGTACCTCCAGCACCTCCAGCTCCAGTACCTCCAGCACCAGTACCCCAACCATAGCGGCCTCGCCATATAACCCACTCGCGAAGCTACTGCAGCAAGAGAGTCTCCTATCAACAACCATGCCGCTGCTTTCCAACGCCAGAACCTCCAGCAGGCGCACCCACGACTCCACCACCACTAGGATGCGCAACACCCCCAAAAGCAGCACCCCCAGACTCAACACCCCCAGAACCAACACCTCCAGAGTCAATACCCCTAGGACCAGCACTCTCAGAGTTTGCACCCTCAGTGGCACCACCCCCAGCAGGACCGGAGTCCACAGCGACAGGCTGCGGAGGCGGCGAAGACGGCCGAGGCGGAAAACCAGGACGGGTCTCCAAGCGTGGGGAGCGGCGAGTGGCCGCTGTGTCGTTAGCAACGGGGTCACCCCCCTCAGCTGGGCCAGAGGTGACAAAGGAGACCTCCAAAGGCTCAACCAGGGGGGTGGGTCGACCTGAGACACATCTGAGGGAGCAGGACCCTGTGGGGGGAGGAGGTCTACCGGAGGGGGACCTGGAACCAGGAAGAGGGGCGGTGAGGGGACAGGAGAAGACGCCTAGGGGTGGAGACGGTAGAAGCAAACCATATCGTCAATGGTGACGTCCTGGGGGGACAGAACGCAGCGCGAGGCAGGGTGGTAAAACTGCCAGGGCGTCGCGTTGGTGGGAAAGCCAAGGAGCGGAAAGTGCGAGGAGAGATCTTGTCCGCGGTAGGATCGCGTATAAGGGCAAGTGAGCCCCAGGCCCGAAACGCGGTTGCATCGCCAATCTCCCCCATCCAATGGAGTGTAGGCGAGGTCTCAGGCACAGAGATACGGGGCTAGAGGTTGAGCTGATGCGTGGCGTATCGGACTGCAAACGACCACAAAAAATAGGGAGCAACCCATGGAGGTGCGAGCAACCACCATGATCAAGCCAATGCGACGCTCAGCAATCCCTGTTGTGGAGAGGCCGGAAGCGTGAATGACTGGGTGATGCCCTCTCCACGACAAAAGTCTTCAAGGAGGCGGAAGGAAAACTCATCGCCTCTGTCAGAGTGCAGTCGTAGGACTTGAAGAACCTGCTGAAACCGTGCGCTCAGCTGGCAACGAATAGTGCAGATCCAGGGGATCAAAACACTGCGGACATCCGCCTTGCTCTGCAAGGGGAAGACCGTGGTGTAGCGTCTGTTGTTGTCAACAACCAGCAGAAAGTAGCGTTCGTGTCCACGGACGCAGGTGGGGCCCCACACGTCCATGTGGAGAGTCTGCAGAGGAGCAGTGGTCGGAGGAAACGAAGAGGAGTGAGGAGCGGTGCGCTGCCGCCCCTCGATGCAGGGAAGGCACAACAGTGCAAGCAAGCGCGGGAGCGGGGGCGGGGGACTGGGGAGGCCAGAGACAAGGAGATGAGAGTGCATGCTACACAGACGCGGCAGGGAGGGGTGACCAAGACGGTGGTGCCAGAGGAGGGACGGGTGCGTGAGAAGTCGACACGAGCAAGACGCAGCGACCTGACCGGACGCAGCTACCTGTGCAGATTCAGTGGTCAGTGTGTACAGGCCAGACCTGGATCTCCGAGTGAACGTGGCGAGGTGGGCGCCAGTCCGTGAGTCCATACAGAGCCACAAGCTCACCCCCAGGAGTAGTGACAGTGACAAACTGGTCCTGGAGGACATTGTTACTCACCGAGTTCACAGCGAACGAGGGGAGGTGGAGACCTATGAGTGAGCCGGAAGGGGCTGCCGGACACGGGAGAAAGGTGGAGGCACGTGCTACTACTGTACCCCCAGAGGGGTTAGCCAGAGTGACCGGGACAGGTGTAGTGAGCGGTGTGACTGTGGTGCAGTCGCGGAAGAAGCAGGGAGTTGCACCTGAGTAAAGCGTGAAGGTGTGTAAAGCCTCCATAGGAGCTGCACATGTGCTAGCAAGCTCACAGGCACCTAGAATAGTTGCCTCTACACTACCAGGGACGCATCGTTGAGAAACCCACTCATGAAGCTACTGCAACGAGAGGGTATCCAACTGACGCTGCTGGAAGTGCTGACCACCCCCAGAACCACCGGCTCCACTAGTGGCACTACCTGCAGGAGCAGACCTACAGGTGCCTACGCTCCCCTCCTCGACCAGCGGTTGGTCCTCCCCTAACAACGGACGCCACTGCTGTAGTGGCCGGGTGGTAGGAGAGAGGGAGTAGTGCCTCACAACAGTGTCGAACAAAGTCTGGGCCAACGTCACTTGTCGAAAGTAGTCCCTCTGGTCGACCGGCAGGAGAGATCGAACGGCAAGCTGTGCGACAGCGTCGCGCTCCGTCCACTGTCTGTAGGCAAGGTTGTCCACCCGGTACCGCCTCTGCACGTCCTCACCAGCAGGCTCAGTGGGAGTCGTAGGGGCCGGAAGTGACCCTGGTGTGTGCTCGAGTATGGAGATGTTCTTTCTAATGAAACGCTGGAGACACACGCGCATGCACGTAAGCCACAACCTTAACCTGTACGGGCGTCTATCTGCGTCAACCGCTAAGACCGGCGGCGTGGCCATGACATGCAGTGGAAGTCAACAGCAGGGACGGCGGCAGTTGTTGTAGTGGGAGGTGCTGCGACTGTGGCAGCTGTAGTGGCTAGGACAATGTGCGGCCGGCTAGGGCAGGGCACGGGCGGCTAAGGCAGCGCGCGGGTAGGAGGGCGCGCGGGGCGCGGGCAGCAAGGCGCGTGGGGCGTGGGCAGAAGGGCACGAGGGGGGCGGCAGGGCGCACGGGGCGCGGGCAGCGCATGCGCGCGGGCTGCAAGGCAGTGTGGGCAGGGCAGCGCGCGGGCTGCAGGGTGCACAGGGCGCAGCAGGGCGCGCGGGGCTGCAGGGCAGCGCGGGCAGGGCGCGTTGTCAGCAGAGCGCGCGCGGGCAGCAGACGACGCATACTACAGAGCGCGCAGGCTGTAGGGCACGCGGGCAGCAAGGCGCACGCGGGGCATAGGGCAGCAGAGCGCGCTGGCAGCAGAGGTGCGTGCGGGAAGCAGGCGACGCGGGCAGCAGGCGCGCTCGGGCTGCAGGGCACGCAGGGCACGTGAGCAGCAAAGCGCACGCGGGGCTCACGGCAGCAGGGCGCGCTGGCAGCAGAGGCGCAGACGCGGGAGTTCGGCGGAGGACCCTCCGTGTGAGAGTACGACAGCTTATGGCAGCTATGCTTGCTTGCCTAGACTTTATTATGCTATTTCTAGCTTGGGTATATTTTATGCATGCATGAATTGCTTGATTTCCTAGGCTAGGTGCTTTCCTATATTTTATTATAGTTATAGCACCGAGCTAGGTTGCGTGCACCGAATTCTGGGTTTTTCGGTTGCCACCGAATTGCCTTCTACTGAATTCGGGAAGGAACTGTTCGGGACGCTTCGCAACCCTCGGAACTTTCGCGTAACACCTGGTTACTAGGCCTTGTGTCGAGCCTATATATAGCCTCGTGTTGTACCCAGGTGATCATTCAATTACAATTCTCTTTCCTGAGCTCGATCCTAGATCCTCACACTTGGTAATCAGAGCCTGTTTGCACGCGAAGTTTTTCTACCGCTAAATCCTAGCTTTTAAAACCGCGGGGGCGACAACGGAAAGCGCCGATTTCGGGTACGTAAACCCGTTCCGCGTTATTTTCTAACGTCCCCCTCGAGTCGGTTTTCGAACACTCCTCAGGTCAAGTGGCGAAAAAGTTGGAATTTCGACCGTCAGATCGATTTGAATCTCAACGGCCCTGAGAATTTTGTCAAAGATAGTAGGAGTATGGCCTAGGCTTAGTAGCCTAGGCCATAGTAGGACTAGAACGAGGAGGCGCCAAGTAAGAGCTAGGAACGTGTGCACGAACAGAATTGAGAAAGAATGAATGAACTAGCAAGCAGCAGGATACAAATGGCAAACCCTAAGGGGCTGTACTCACTATTGAGTACCCCACTGCAGGCTACACAAACAACATATTCTGACACACACCCATAGCCAAAGTGGGGTGAAATCAGCACAATGAGGAGGCAGTGCAATAGTTCACAATTATCAGCAAAGCTAGAGGCTATCACAGAGGGCAAGTGAGGAGGAGGAGGGACTATGAGAGGAGAGAAGATGGGAGGCGACGACTGAAGCTGCAGACACACGGGCAACAGAAGCGGCTGACACAGTGGCGGCTGACACAGCGGCTACCGAGGCAAGGGCCCCAGACTACTGGAGTAACTGGCTCTGCAGCTACGACGAGCGGCAGAAGCAACGGACCCACGGGCGACTGGTGCAGCAGGCTCTCTGAGCTACCGGCGACAAGGGCCCCGGAATACAGGAGTAACAGGCTCTGCGGCTACGACGAGCGGCAGGAGCAACGGACTGACGGGCAACAGGTGCAGCAGGCTCTCTGAGCTACCGGCGACAAGGGCCCCGGAATACAGGGCTGCGGACGACACGACGGCTGCCTCCACTCAACCTCCCCCAACTGCCCCACACCCCTGTCACACACCCCCTGCTTCACCCCTAGTTCCACTCCCACATCACCCCCCTAGCACCACTCCTTCGTCTCCCACACACCCACCCCCCTCAGCGGCAGCTGCAGCAGCGGGAGACGGAGGAGGAGGAGCAGGGGACCGCGCACACCCGCCACCCCCATACCCGTCACCCCCATACCCTGAGTGTGCGGTAAGCGAGCTCAGGTGTGCGCGAAGCGTGCACAAGCATGCGGGAAGCGAACTCGGGTGTGCGGTAAGCAAACGCAGGTGTGCGGGGGGGGGGGGGGAGGAGGGCGACACGCGGGTCGACGGGGACGGGCACACGGGTCGCCGGGGGCGGCGCGCGGGTCGACGGGGCCGCCGCGAAGGGCGACGAGGAGCCGCGCGCGGGTTGACAGGGCCGCCGCGAAGGGCGACGGGGAGCCGCGCGCAGGTCGACGGGGACGGGCGTGCGGGTCGACGGAACGCGAAACCGCCGCGTGCGCCCAGGGTGCGCGGTGGGCAGGAAACCGCCACGCGTCCCGAGCGCATGGCGGGCAGAATACCGCCGCGCGAAGCAGGAAACCGCCGCGCGCCTCGGGGCGCACGGTGGGCAGAAAACCGCCGCACGCCCCGAGCGCACGGCGGGATGAAAAACGCCGCGCGCTCCGAGTGCGCGGCAGGAAGAAAGAGTCGCGCGCCCGGGGCGCGCGACAGCAGTAGAGCAGCGGAAGCATCGGGTGGGGCCCACCCACAGGATCGACCCAGGAGGGTCGACCTGCTCTGATAGCATGTCAAAGATAGTAGGAGTATGGCCTAGGCTTAGTAGCCTAGGCCACAGTAGGACTAGAACGAGGAGGCGCCAAGTAAGAGCTAGGAACGTGTGCACGAACAGAATTGAGAAGGAATGAATGAACTAGCAAGCAGCAGGATACAAATGGCAAACCCTAAGGGGCTGTACTCACTATTGAGTACCCCACTGCAGGCTACACAAACAACTTTTTGACAAATTTCGCCCAAAAACGTTTGAATTTGGAGCATCGGATCGAATTTCTTCTCAACGGCCGAGATCGGACGCGAATTTCGACTAAGGGAGAATTACGCGACCTACAAGAATCCGCGCTCGTCATTTCTACAGTCGATTCGACTCACAGTAAGATGACAAGCGCCTAGAATTCGATTATTTTCGTCGCAAAACTTCCTGTAAATCGCCAAATGGAGGAAAATGGTGATAATTCCGTACGAAAAATTACGGAGTTACGCACCGACCTGGACCAGACGCGAGCGGCACTCCAACGAATAGAGGAGCTTCTCACGAACCAGTCCGCAGCCGCCACAGCAGCAGCGAATGCAGCAGCGACAGCAGCAGCAGCAGCGGCGACACCGACACTTCACCCAGCAGCAGCGGCAGTGGCTACAGTGAATCTTGAGGCGGCACGTCCGAGGCTACCGGAGACGTTCAATCCGAATGCGAGAGACACCGACGTCCATCGATTCATTGCGACCCTCGAAATTTACTTCGAGGCCGTTGGCTGTACAACCCCGACACACGATGCAATGCGGATTCGGCTCGCAGCGACACTGTTACGAGGCCCGGCGCTCGAGTGGATTTACAATAGCAACGAAGTGTGAGGTGAGGGGTCATGGACGCAGTTTCGGGAAGCTTTAATTCAACGTTTCGAACCAATCAACTCCAGCTACATGGCGCGGCAGCAGATTCATCGGCATAAACAGTTCGGCAGTGTAACACAGTACACGCAGCAGATGGAGAGCCTCTTCAACAGAATAATTGTCCTGACCGAAGGGGAAAAAATACAAGCGTATACTGAGGGGCTAAAGATGGAAGTCCGCCGACAGATGATTGCTGCGAACTACAACAACTACCGCGACATGGTGTATGCAGCAGAGAGATTCGATGTGCTGACGCGAGATCAACCCGAGACACGACGCCACGTGCCGAACAGATCATTCGACACGAAGCGATCGGCACCACCCACGACCGCCAACCCGATGGATATCGACAAGGTCGACGCGACGCAGCGGCCGACAAAATATGAGAAGTGTGAATTTTGCGGCGCAGCAGGACATCGACTCTTGGCGTGTTGGAAAATGAAGAAGGCACGAGCGGAGCTGAAGGGCAACAACAGTATAGCACCCCCGAAGTCAAAAGACATGGTGACTTCGGAGCAGGCGAAAAAAGGAGGACACGATGGCGCCAATTTAAAACGCCACGCCCGGCCGGCAACAGGGGAAATCGTCGAGACAAATGGAGTCTCCGCGAAACCAGACTCTGCACCGACCGGGAAACTCCAGCCGAACACCCCCGAGAGTAAGAATATTACCTCTCGAGGTTTTCAAGCCTGTGAAAAATTCAGGGGAGATTTCAAGGCCAAGAAAAAGCCTTCAGACATTATTCAGGTACCTGAGAAGTTGGGCAAACCACTCCGGAGCGTTGAAAAGGATCATGCGTTCCAAAGAGTTAATATTCTCTCCCCGCAGCACAGTGTTGAGGCTCCCCGTTGCCCACAGGTGAAGCCTACACAACTGCAAAGGCTTAGGGGAAGGTTCCAGGCCAAGACGAAGCTGAATCGGCCTCGGATAAATCCTTCTAACCCTACTCAGTTGAAAATTGATATGGAGTCGCAGCTTCGAGCGCAAGACCGATGGATGATCTATTCGACATACCCTACGATCTTAAAAGCAAGACCATTTACGGCTACTCGGAGTAGCAACAACCACTACTCCTCGAGGTGATCTGCAAAGGGCGACGCCTCCAGGCACTGGTGGACAGCGGTGTGTCTCACTCGGTGTGTGACCGCGGGACGTTGGAGAAAATTGGAGAATCTTCCGACGAGACCAAGTTCGCATCAACGATGTTGGACGGTACAAAACTTCCCATCCACGGCGAAGCTTCACTGCAGCTGCCCATAGGGGCGCTAAGGTGGAAGCCGACATTGCCGATTACGAACATCAAGGGTTTAGATTTCATCTTGGGGCGAGATTTCTTGAAGCGGTTCAACCCCGAGATCGACTGGGTCAACAGGAAAGCGTGCATCTACAACAACGGGAAACGAGTGGAGTTGCGAAGCTAGACGGATACAGGGAGCGTTCCTGAAACGACACTGGTACGGTTCGAACGGACGGTGAACGAGAGTAACACGGGTTACTAAGCACTGGTTATGGCTGCAGTAGAGGAGGAGAAGCTGAGTACGGAGCTACCTGCAATAGTGAAGGAGGTCTTGGAGCAGTACAAGGAGATAATGCCCGACGACCTATTTGCAGGCGTACCTCCAGCACGCACCCACGAGCACGAGATCGTGGAGGAACCAGGTGCGAAACCCGTCTCACGTGCACCATACCGACTGAGTCCGACCGAATTGACAGACATGAAGAAACAGATAGAGTATCTACTGGACAGACAACACATCCGCCTATCCACCTCCCCCTACGGTGCACCAGTTCTCTTCACTCCAAAACCAGACGGCAATTTACGGATGTGCATCGACTACCGCGCACTGAACAAACAGACAGCAAAAAACAAATACCCCATACCGCGCATCGACGACCTTCTGGATCAACTACGTGGTGCAACAGTCTTTTCGAAGCTGGACCTACGGTCG